CTATATATATATATATATATATATATATATATCGAATGTTAATTTAATGCTATTTGCATTGATTTTTCGTTCTCATTTACTTTTAGTTGACGTTCAAGCAGCTCTAGACGACGCCTATCTTGCGGCCACAGCGGAGGCTGAAGCTGCAGCAGCGCTGGCCAAAGCGACTGGCATCGGTGTGGGCATCTCGGAGAAAGTCACTCTTGGCGCAAGTTCGAGTTCTACTGCTGCTACTGGAAGTAGTTCAGCCGAGGGCAGTACTGTGGGCGGACCTGGAGATCAGAGGAATTCTCTACTCTTACTTGGAGACGCCTTCGATCCTATCTTATCCACTGGCTCATCCCTAACAAGATCTCGCGCAGTATTATTGATTTTATTTAGTTCTTTTTTTGCCATATATTTTTTTCTATTTTTAATATTGTCTGCATAGTACTGTAATCTTGAGGTTTAAACAGTTGGTCAGAAATTTCGGCTCTCATTCTGTACTTTTAATGCGCGATCTCAAGCACTATAACCAATTTGCTTAAATAGCCGCTTAAACAGAATAGCAATTAGACTTTTAAATTTTCTTCTTCTTGAAACCCATTTAGTGTAAGTTGCGGACATTTTGGAACTTCGTTTTCATTACTGTAGCTTCGTTCACTTTTCAATCAATGCTATAAAATATCTTATTATTATCTAATAACTCTTTTCTTGTGGGTTTCGGATGTCAGCTTTCTTTTCAGTAGAAGAAAGTGGCCCCATTGTGATTGCTTCTCATTTCAACTCCTAGAATCGATTGCAATTATATATAAGGTCGAAATCAGGATTCGTGCTGAAACTCGAGTAGATTCAAGTAGTTCACTTTGGACTGACAGGGTTGAAGAAATTGTTTTCGTTAATTGCTTGGAGAACTATTCACAATGCAAGGAAACTCCTCCTATCTCCTTAATTTGGGTCAATCAATAGTTCAACTTAGCATTGAACTCTCATATTTGTCGTAAATTGCACTGCATTCGACCTGCCTATCTCAGCTATTTCCTAGGCACCTGTCAAAGCTGGTTGCTCTTAGACATCTACCGGACTCTAGGCTTACTGTCACTTATTATTACTTTTTGAATAAATTACAATCGAGTCCAAATTGACCAATCACCGCTCTCCTTATCTTCTCCTATTCCTCCTTCTTCTAATTGCCTACAAAAATCAGGTAGACAACCGAGAGTGAGACGTAAATTTCCTGCCGAATTATTTCGCCTTACAAAGGACCGACCTTATGTCAACTCCATGCCATGTAGGAGGCGAGCTCGTTTGGGCATTTGAATTCTTATTTATTGAAATGATTTAAAGGTCAATCAGCACTACCCCACTGGCAAAGCAGAGGTCACGCGTTTAATGTTCCATCAGTGGGTGGGCTAACCGCGTTGCTTAATCCTTAATGCTGGTTCAAGGAAAGTTGGGTGAGGGAGGGGGGGGGGTGGAATGCTGCTTTTTTCATCAGGTGTTTTCAGGATGCCTTCTTATGTGTGTTCAGGTGTTGTTAGGGCCATTGTTCCCTAAGAATATTTAACTGTAGTTTTAATGGATTAGAACTTGTTGCGAAGGTTTTGAAAATGTGGGGCAAGCTGAAGTTGAGTGGTTTCTTAAAGCAGTGGTCTGATCTCTTCGAATAATTAACGACCTTATTGAATGAAAAATGAATATGCACGATTTGGCGGTTTTCTTTCCTTTCTACTGTTTTACAAAAGACTTTAATCTTGGCGAGGAACGAGAGTACTTGAAGAAATTATAGCATACTTTCGCAACGCAATCAATATCTATATATATATAATTGTTAAATCAGTTAGTATTAAAATGAATGGTTTAGCATTTTTGCATGCTGTATTTCTTGTACCTTTCCCCCTTGGGAAAAGTGACGATGCAGGAGCTATCTCTTATCAAAAACCCTTATCACAAAACATGAGATTTTAAGTGAGCTTCTAGTCGCTCGTAAGCGTTCGTCTACTGTCTTTTAACCCCTCTTAAATTCTAATTGTCAAGTCTCTCTAGGGGGTGCACTTTCTAAGCTTTTCTTCCTACCCTACTGACCCCTCCCCCCTCTTTGGGGTCCCAAAATAAAAATTTTACCTGATTTCTTGAAGATTCTTCCCTCCTTCTCCCCGCCCCCTATTTGCTTGATGCTGATTCAAATGTATTCCAGCTTTATCTGCCAAGTATTGATGTGCCATGACGGCTTACTAGGTCTTAATGTGAACCTCTTGTTTACGTACTCTGTTTACTCTGAATGCTAATAAATTATACTTAGTTCCTTTGTTTCTCTACCTGCGGTTCATGTTTCCGCATTTTGTCATTTAAAGTGCTCGGCTTGCAGGCAAAGGAGTGGTCACTTTGTGTGCTTTTATCCGTGGGTTCGTGTCATTTCGAGTTTTTGTTTGTGATGATATAATTTCCAACTTTATAAGAACACCAGTCTACTTATTGTCTTATTCAAGAAAGGCAAGATCTCTCTTTTTGTTCCACACAGGATTTAACCAACTCCTGGGTTAAAGCCTCCAAGTTCAGTGGTGACTCACAGAAACTTTTGAGTGGTCGACTTATCTTATTCCTTTACCTTCAAATGCCAAATTGTGTGCTTTCCTTGGCAGTGCAATTGCACCAATTCAATTGTCCTACGTTTCAATGGTGTCGGGCTATCATTTTTACCTTGCCATTTTAAGAATTAATTAGATTCTAATTCATCTCGCTTCTGATTTTCTATTTCTCAATTTCCCCTGTATAAAGCCACGTAGTTCCTTTTTTCTCCTAGTCTGCGTCTAGGCATATAAATTCTACGCCTTTTTCTCCCCAAGTTCTGATTTCGGGAGCAAAGGAAGTTTGTCGCCAACCTAATTTCCAATTGGCATTAAACTAATGAGATACTGAAGAACGCTCCCTTTTACAAAATATTTTCAAATTGTTTTTTTTTTATCGATAATCTTGAAAGGTCACAGTGCTGTAGAGAGAGAGACTTGCAGCGCGTTCACGCCAGAGCTTGTAAATCCGATCTCTGGCTCCTAGCTATTCAACGTGTTAGGTGTCAATGATTTTGAATAATCTTCACCACGATAGGTGGAACACAGAAGGTTCAAGGGCGGCTGCAGAGAGACAAGGGTGGGGGGGGGGGAATTGGAAAGGGGGTAATTGGAAACGTGGCACAATGTTGTTTTAAATAATCCGCTTGAAGAAGATACATGATTGTTTTGCACCGGAGCTTGAGGTCACAGTGTGGACTCAAGTTCTTTTCAGTTTCAATTTTGATGCGTAGTTGTATATCCTTGTACAAATGTGCGCTCCCTGTGAGAGACCGCTTGTAATTTGAATGCTACTGATTTCTACCTCTCAGTAGGGGGGGGGGGGGTTCCATTTTTAGACTATCGCTTCGAAATTATGCTTTATTCTCATAAGCTATTTTGTGTTCACCTGATTAGGGGGACTCCTGTCCCCCCTCCCCTAATCAAGGCTTGTTCTTTTGCTAAATTTGGCATGAAAAACCGCTTTTCCCTAATTACGGTTTTGGTTGTTTTTTGTGGGTACCTCTTATCCTGGTTTAATTCCTATTTATTTCCGCATGAATCTATCGTGTACCAAGTAATCCACAGATGACCTACTTTCTCGTTGATTAACTGAAAAAAATAATTGCCTAATATATATACAGTTACCATTCCTGCAGTTGCATTCGCGTTGCCTAGGTGATTCATTGCTAAGGTCAATGTGAAATCACTGGAAAATTACTTTTAATAGGTAGTATTTGTAATCGTCCCAAGGTTGTGTTCAACGATTAGCTAAAATATATTTTTTTTCAAATGGCAGGCTTTATGATAGTTATCATTAGCCCTTTAGTTGACTTCAGGCTTTACAGAGAGATAGAGAGAGAGAGAGGAACACCAAATCGAAAAAGTCGAGTGGGGGGGGGGGGGGAAAACAGAAGAGTGTTTTAAAGATGTAAAAGAGACAGACACAAAGGTAAATGAAAGGTGGGGTGAGTACTGTGAAAGTTGTCGAATATGACGTACATTGGGGTCATGATAGCTTGAACTCAGAAGTCAACTGCCGGTTTATAGAATTTTTTGCCGCATGGGTATACGTTGCCCAGGGTGCACCACGTGGAGGTAAGTCTATCGCACACCCCACGATTAGCTAAAATATAATGAAGAGGGTTCAGTTCTAAACGTGTTTTTTCGAATGGAAATATATTTACAATATATTAATGCTGTATTAGATCATTCTTCAAAGTACTATTTCATTCAACCTACTGGATTGCTGATTTAATCGATTTTTCTCTCTTTTTTTTGCTATTTTATATGTGCCTGTAGAATGGGACAACACGAGCAACCGCTCAACAACTCGCCAATGAAGCCTGGGCTCGAGGTAAGATTTCTCTCTATCTTGAAGTTAGTGCATAAATTTGCAAAAAATAGACTTACTTTGATTTTGTGCCATAAAGCTCATCTTCGCCGAGTTGTCAAATGTCTATTTGTATCGAATCTTATGGCCATTTAGCATTGCATGTACTTCTGTCTACTTTTTATAGGGACCGGTTTTTATCAGGATTGGTTATTTTGATTGGTAGAAGTTGGTTCAAAGTTTAACCAATCGGAAAGGCTGTGTTTTTAAAACGATTCTATTTTTTTCCTCTTAATTTAATGAAGCCTCGTGTGATTACTTGAATTTAGTTTTTAATTAATTAAGTATTTAATCTACTCAGTTGCCATTTCAAATAAGACTCCAATAAAAGTATTTATGCAAATTGGTTAGATAGATTTGAATACCAGGGATTTGAAGTCCTAATTGTGATTTCAATGATAAGGCTATTTCCATTGTTATTTTTTCTTTCCAAATGAATCTCGATATAGATTACAGGTTTGTGTCTAGAAATTAGCATAGACACATACATGGCATAGTCGTGAGTATTTAACTTCAATTTTCGGTTAATTACCCCGGTATGTAATGGAAAACAGATAATCAATATGTTTGAACTCTCAATTTTACATAACAATTGAAGTGTGATCTATAAAAAAAAGAGAATTTGGGGATATGTGTTGGAGAGTAGGAAGAAAGATTCAGTATCCGAGATTGTGCAAGTTCGACCCTGATTAAAATGTATCAATCCTCTTAGTGATTCAAGTAGCTGCAGACAGTTACAAAAGTCCTCCGGTATAAGTTGACACCAAAATTACCTAGTCTACACCCATGGTAGTGAGAACAAAGAAGGCATTGCTTGAAGGCAACTTCAGTGAAGAGTTTCTACAATGATCGCTGAGCTGTATGCGTATTGATCTCTGATTGATTGAGAGGCCTCTGCACGTACTTCCGTGCTTGATCGATACGCGATCGGTTGCATGATCGTGATTTCAAAAATGTTCAAGCGCACTCAATGCCTTTGGGCCAGTCATGATAGCGTTGTATGGATTCCAAAAGAAAATCGTTTTTTTCTCACAATCACTTGTTGTCTGTATTTGGAGGCTTTAGTTACCCCTTCCTGCCAGCCCGTTTATGACGAAATACTGGATCCCATCTTTGATATGTTAAAAAAGTATGAAAACGATTATTGCTTGCATCTAGGTCTTCAAGGCTCAAACCCACGTAGTGGTGTTCGGATTTCTTGTGTCCAGATCTTTGGAATCAGGGAGTGGAAGTAAAGTTGGGTGATTTAACATTAAGTTAGTTCTAGGCTTCCTTTGCAATACCGCGATACCCACCAGAACTAATCTTGATATTGTTTAAAGCGAGCATTCCAAGTAACTAACAGTCACTTTTTTATTCCTGCTAAAAAGCGATTTCGAATCTTCAAAGAAATGGCATCCTGAAGGGCAAAAAATGGAAAATTGGAGTTGAATTTCCAATAGCAAGGGCCTTGTCATTACCTTTTGTTAATGCTTCAACTACTTTGATCTTACCAAGGCTACAATTTTTAGCAAAGTTCCACCTCTCCCCACCTCACCCTACCCCCAACTTTGATAATTTATTTGATTGCCTACTCTATTGTGGACGCCTTTTTTTCTACAAGTGTTCCCTTTGTAATTGTGCGTTAGTTTTCACTGGTCATTTGTCTTCTGGGCTTTGTCTGTGTCTTTGCCTTTTTCCACTGTTTACATTTGGAAGACAAATGAGTTTCCCTAGTCTCTCCTAGTTCTTGTTTGAGTTGCATCCATTTTGCGTGCGTGTGTGTGCGCGTGTGTGCAAAACTTTTCAAAGGGGACATCTACTAATCTTGTTTCAATTCAACGCCGTTAACGTTTGCTATATGTATATGGGTATGTCATATAGTTCTGCTTAATTACTTGGCGAGCTTAAAATATTTCGTTTTATCCTGTATTTAAAGTATCCTACAATTTCTTCATCATTAAATTGCCGGATTTTAAAATATTTATTTGCACCAAATAGCAGGCTTTTGATAGTCATCATTAGCCCTTTAGCTGACTCCGGACTTCACAGAGAGGAAGAGGAACATCAAAGTCACAAGAAGTAGAGGGAGAGGGGCACTGAAGAGTTATTCACAGATGTAAAAGAGTCAAACGCAATGGTAGAGAGTAGGGTAAGGTGAGTATTGTGAGAGTGGTCGAATATGACATACATTCGGCACATGATATTTTGAGGTCAGAAGTCACCTGTCGGTTTGATAGGCTTTTTTGCCGTATGAGTGCACCACGTGGAGGTAAGTCTATCGCACACCCCACGATTTATAAGCTATAAAATTTCCCTTCTACGAAAAACTCTCGAACAAATTTTTAATCCATGTCACCGCATCAAAATTATATACGAAAATAAACAAATAAATGCAATTGATCATGGTGATTTCCAAGCCCCTCACAACAAATTACGCCTCTTTTTCCCATAATTTAAGGCAATTCTGCAAATAATTTGTACGTCTCATATATCATGTTAACATATTTGTGTGTTGAAATATTAATATGCGGATAATGTGTTTTTGGTGCAAAGATACAAGTCTCAAACCGTTTCTATTCAATAAATGCCCTTCG